TTACAGAGAATATGAAGACAAAGAAGTTACTGTGAACCATTATAAAATATATCTTGCCGTCAACTCGAATCATTTGTCCAGTTCTGGGCATTACACATTAGGAAGATTTTAAAGGCATTCGAAAAAATGCAGAAAACATCGACAAGAATGGTTTAGGGTTGAGAGACTTCAGTATTCAGAACGGATTGAGAAAGCAGCACTGTTTATTTCTTTCTGGAAGGTTGAGAAAAAATTTGATAAAGGTGTTCAGAAATAGGTCTGACCAGAGTGGGTGGGAGAAGCTGTTCACAGTTGGGAAAGGCTTGAAAACCAGAGGGACACTGGTATCAGTGACTGGCAAAAGAAACACAGGCAACATGGTAGAAAGATTTCTTTACATAGCAAGTGTTTAGGATCTGGAATGCACTCAACTGTGAGGTGGGGTCAAGACCTAAGTAAGCTTCTCTTGCAGAGAGTCAGCACAAATGTGACTTGCCGAATGGTCTCTTTCTGTGATTGATTTATTGTCACATGCACCAGAGTACAGTGAAAAGCTTTGTTTGCAAGCAGTTTAGGCAGATCATGGTAAGCAAAGGATGTACAGACCAAAGATTGTAAAAATAGGGTTAAACAGAGGCATACAGGTTACATTGCACAGGGCATGTGCTAAGTGAGATCAACGTTAGCAATATCAGTGTTATTTAAGACTAGAGAATCCATTCATCAGTCTGATAACGGCCAGGAGGAAGCTGTTCCTGAACCTGCTGGTGCGTGTGTTCAGGCTTCTGTAGGAGATCATTACCGGGGTGCCATGGGTCTATGATAAAAACCAAAAGAACTGCGGATGCTGTAAATCAGGAACAAAAACAAACTTGCTGGAAAAGCTCAGCAGGTCTGGCAGCATCTGTGGAGAAGAAAACAGAGTTAACGTTTCAGGTCCGGTGCCTCTTCCTCAGATGGGTCTTTGATGTTGACCACCTTTCCGAGGCAGTGAGCCATGTAAATAGAGTCCATGGATGGAAGGTTGGCTTCTGGATGGTCTGGGCTGGGCACACCACCTTCTGTAGTTTCTTACAGTCCTGGGCAGAGCAGTTGCTGTACCAGGCCATTATGCACCAGAACAGTATGTTTTCAGTGGTGCGTCTGTAGATGTTGGGTAAGGGGCCTTACGAACATGCCAAAATCCCTGACCCGCCTGAGGAAGAAGACATGTTGTTGTGCCTTCTTGACTGTCACATTTACGTGGGTCATCGTCACTCCGAGGAACTTGATGCTCTCCACCTTCTCAGTCTCAGTTCCGTTGAAGTAGATGGGGGTGTGTCCTCCTCCTTTCTTTCTGAAGTCAATGATCAGATCTTTAGTTTTGCTGCTGTTGAGAGAGAGGTTGTTCTCATTGCACCATGTCACCAAGCCCTCTATCTCCTTTCTGCTTTAGTCATACCATGCTTCTATGGTCCTTTGCTTCTAAAGTTACAGTGACTAAGGCAGTGCAGCCTCCTCAGTGCTGTATCTCTCTAAAAAAAAATCAGTAAGCCATTTAGAGCAGTGACCTTTACAGACAGAGGGTGAAAAATGGAGGAAATAATGTGTACCTTTTTATAAAGCATTGGTTTGATGTCACCCAGAGAAACGTGTCTAGTTTCGGACACCGCTATTTAGGAAAGACTTGATCAGATCGAAGGGGATGAAATGAGTTTATTATCCAGAAACCTTTCGTATAGTGTTAACTATCCCTCAGTTATGTTGGGTCTTCCTTTCCACCCAGCAATATGAGAAATGTTGAATGCTCCATTCAACACCAGAATCAGTCATTTTTACCTTTACCTTTTAGTATAATTCATCCTCAGATGCTTAATTAAAATCGTATAACTATTTCACCACATTCTTCCTCCTGAGGAATTTAGGAGGAAAAGGTAGAAATTGCTGCAAAAGCTCAGAGATCTGGCAGCATATAGAACATAGCACAGTACAGGCCCTTCGGCCCATGATGTTGTGCCTTATCCTACTAAGATCAAACTACCCTGCATACCCTACATTTTACTATCCTCCATGTGCCTACCCAAGAGTCACTTAAAAGTCTCTATTGTATCTGACTCCTCTACCACTGCCGGCAGCACTTTCCACGCACCCACCACCCTCTGTGTGAAGAACCTACCTCTGATATCACCCCTATACTTTCCTCCAATCACCTTAAAATTATGCCCCCTCGTAAAAGTCCTTTCCGCCCTGGGAAAAAGTCTCTGGCTATCCACTCTATCCATGTCTCTCAACATCTTGTAAACCTCCAGTCCAGGCATCATCCTGGTAAATCTCCTCCGCACCCTTTCTAAAGCTTCCACATTTTTCCTATAATGAGGTGACCAGAACTGAACACAATATTCCAAGTGTGGTCTAACCAGAGTTTTATTGAGCTGCAGCATAACCTCATGGCTCTTAAACTCAATTCCCCTGCCAATGAAAGCCAACACACCATATGCCTTCCTTTCAACCCTATCAACTTGGGTCGCAACTTTGAGGGATCTATGGACGTGGACCCCAAGATCCCTCTATTCCTCCACACTGCCAAGAATCCTGCCAATAACCCTGTATTCTGCATTAAAATTTGACCTTCCAAAGTGAATTGCTTCATACTTTTCTGGGTTGAATTTCATCTGCCACTTCTTTGCCTGGCTCTGCATCCTGTCAATGTCCCGTTGCAAACTACAACAGCCCTCCACGCTGTCCATAACTCCACCAACCTTCGTGTCATGGGCAAACTTACTAACCCACCCTTCCACTTCTTCATCTCAGTCATCACAAAGATCACAAAGAGCAGAGGTCCCAGAACAGATCCCTGTGGAACACCACTGGTCACCGAGCTCCAGGCTGAATACTTTCCATCTACTACCACCCTCTGTCTTCTATTGGACAGCCAGTTTTGTATCCAGACAGCCAAATTTCCCTGAATCCCATGCCTCCTTACTTTCTGAATGAGCCTACCATGTGGAACCTTATCAAATGGCTTGCTAAAGTCCATATACACCACATCCACTGCTCTGCATTCATCAATGTGTTTTGTCACATCCCCAAAGAATTCAATCAGGCTTGTGAGGCATGACCTGCCCCTCACAAAGCCATGTTGACTATTTCTAATTAAACTGCTTTTCCAAATAATCATAAATGCTATCTCTCAGAATCCTCTCCAATAATTTGCCCACCACAGAAGTAAGACTGACTGGTCTGTAATTTCCAGGATTATCCCTATTCCCTTTCTTGAACAAGGGAATGACATTTGCCACCCTCCAATCATATCGTAATACTCCAGTGGACAGTGAGGACGCAGAGATCATTGCCAAAGGGGCAGCAATCTCTTCCCTCGCTTCCTGTAGTAACCTTAGGTATATCCTGTCTGGCTCAGGGGACTTATCTATCCTCACGCTTCTCAAAACTTCTAGCACATCCTTCTTCCTAACATCAACCTGTTCTGTGCATCTGTGGAGAGAAATCAGAGTTAACGTTTTGGGTCGAGTGACCCTTTCTCAGAACTGACGGTAGCTAGGAAAAAAGTTGGGTTTTATGCAGAAGATAAGGTGGGTGGAATGGATAAGGAGTAAACGATAGGTAAAGATAGATGCTAAAGAGAGAGGAGAATGGCTGGAGAAAGAAGTAGGTAATGGTCAGCCTAGGAGAATGAAACGCTAAGTGGACAATTAGTGACTAACGATGGGTGGTGTCAAATGGCAGACCATGTGATAACAAGACTTGGTGTGTGGGGGCTGGGGTAAGAACAGGGGATTTAGGAAGATGGATTGCTGATCTGCTTTCACTGTCTCCTCCACTCGGTGTGAGGCTGCATACGCTTCACATGTATGGATAATTCCAGAGAAGTTTTTAATCAATGTGCAAAGCTAGGTTCGGATGTGGCATTCTCTGTGACTGATTTGTTGGAATGCAACAACAACTTGCACTTTTAGCATAAAGCATCTTGCTTAGAGGCTGAATATTCTATTAAAAAGTTTCAGGTAGTTGCGTAAGAGAGTTGTATAGAGAAAACAAGACAGTAACTAGATAGATTCAGACTGAGTTTAAAAAGCTAACAACCTCGAAAAGGCGTACTGCTTTCTGTGTTGTAGTTTAGTTATACTGTACCTGAGTATTTTGAATAATAATGAAGGTTTGTAACTCCGGAACTGCCTGGGTCCTGTCAACACAGACCATGTGATTTAGTTTCAACATAGACGTTTACATTACGAGTCTGCTTTCAAGATGAGTTGTTAACCTGTTGAGGACTGCAGCCATATTTCTGCACCCCTTTTAAAGTGAAGCCACTACTTATTATTGCAATGCTCCAAACTAAGCATCCATTTCACGGTTTCCTGGTGTAACTTTCTCCAGTTCCGTACCCACCCTTCCCAAAACTCCAGCCTCTTTCAAATCTCCCATTTCCTCCATCTACCCCTAGTGCTGCCTGCACTGGGTTTCTTCACTTCATGCCTGAGTCTGTTGTAGACTCGTTGATGGAGATTGATTAACGTAATAATCAAGACCACCATTATCATTGCCTCATGACCAGCGAGAAGGTAGAAAGCAAACCTGATGGCCTTCATCCCATCCAGTGATTGCTTTGCTCTAGTGCCATGAATGGAAGGTGATGAGGGAGGATGACAAACAGAAGGAGAAAGGATGGAAATGGGTCAGGTGGATGGAGGATGGATAGGAGGCTGGGTTGAGGAGGAGGGGGCCTGGTAGAGGGAATGGAAATAGGAACGGGAATGTCTCAGTTTGTGTTATACTTGTGGATTGGGTGCTGTCAAAGAGAAAATGTACTGTCACTAAAACCAGCTACAAACACGATATGGCCCACTGCAGTGTTCTCAGCCTTTGGCTAACTCGGGTTTAAACCAGGAAGTGAGCCTTGCACCACTCTGCAACCCAACCTTTGTTCTCACTCTACCCCTTACCAGTTCCCTGCTGACACCACTACAGAGATGGCCACAAAACTCTCATTTTCTCCTTTTCAATTTTCTTCTCTCTCGCCTCAGGTCCCCAAAAACATCCAAGTGACCATCATCTCCAGCTCAGCTTTGTAAAAACATTTCAGCAAGAGGATGGGCACAGATATTGACCACCCTTTGTTATCCTGAGATGGCCGTTGGGTTATTTTGCCTTTGAGGACATTTTATCGTAAAGTGTATTGTACATAGGCTCTGCTCCAGAAATCAATGAATAAAATATAAATAAATAATTAATTGATGACTGTGCAGTATAAAGCCTTGGTTATGGGTTACCATGAAACCATCATCAATTCCCTAAAACAAAAAAAAGCCCCATCTGGTTCACTGATGTCCTTCAGGGAAGGAAACTGCCATCCTCAACTGGTCTGACCTACAAGTGACTCCAGATCCACAGCAATGTGGTTGACTCTGAACTGCCCTCTGAGATGACTAAGCAAAGCCCTTAGTTCAAGAACAATTCAGAATGGGCAACAAATGCTCATCTTGTCAGAGACATCGGTGTTTGCAGGAAAGAATGGGAAAAAAGTGTGTCAACACATCTGTCACTCCAGATCATTCACAGAAAAGATCTCTCTATTTTTCCAGGAAATGCAATTACTAATTACTAATCTTCTTTCACTCAACAGAGTGTTCCAACACATCACTGGTAGTTTACCCCTTTCCCTTTCTCCTCCCTCTATCTATTACTCTTACATTCCCCACCTGACTTCACCTTACTCCAGTGCTTTCATTCCCTGTTCTTCCATCTCCCCCTTGCCCTACTCTCTGAGCTGTCTTTCACCTCCCCTTCCCATTCTGTCTACCTCCCAGCGCCCCTTCCTTCCCAGCGCCCCGCCCAGTCTCTCCTCGGTTTTATAATAATGCCTGGTGGTTTTTAACCCAGCGGACTCAGCTCTCAGATACATTCAGACCTTGAGCCTGGCTGTTAGTGTGGCCAGTTGTTTCCCGGCGGTCTAGCTCCCCTGTACTCAAATCTGCCGAGTGTCAAGGACAGATTGCTAGCCAGGCACAGGCACACACAGACACAGACACACAGAGACAGACACAGACACACAGGGTGAACAGCAGCACACATGCTTATTTGGCAGAAAGACTACAACCTTTATGTATCTAACCCTTAGCTGGGGACTCTGCCAGTTATAGTTTAACTATTACCCACCAATAAACTGCGGGCAAGGTCAGATGGCCATATATCCATTTGGCAGAGTGGCCGATAAAGCTGATTACTGTGTAACTGAAATACAGTACTTATCATTATCTAGCAGAATCAAGCATAGTCACTGTGTTCAATCCAGACAGGCAGAGAGAGAGAGAGAGACTTTTAAAAACCTGGACATGCTGCAGGGCTCTGCCTCCCATGTCCCATGACAGTGGGAATTCTGAAGTAGAGTGGTGTAGGGCCTTTATTGGCGTGTGAGGCAAGCTAAAATCTACAATGTGGATAAGCCTCCCAATCCTCCCTGAAGACCACCACTGGAGTGGATCTGTTCAGTAAAGTTATAAACCAGAGATGTCTCTTAGATACAACGCTCCCACACATAGGCCTGTCCAACTCAGCTGCAGGCCGAATCTCAAATTCAAGAATTTGAAGAATTCAGATCATGGAATAAACCACATGGATTGCCAGTACATCAGAACAAAATAAGTTACTTTAATGTGGCACCTTTCATGACCTCAGGACATTGCAAGCACTTTATGGCCAAATAAGTACTTTCACGTGTAATCTGTTTGTGAAAAATGACCAGTTTGGGTTGGAGGAGGTGGGAGGGGAGGGTGG